AAAGACAGAGGCGCAGCAGGGGGACTGGGTGCAAACCAGGCATCAGCTGTCCCAGCTTGCGCCCAGTCCTCTGCTTCCCCTCTGCCTCCCCGACCGTCCATGGAGCTGGTGCTGGGGGGGAACTGGCTTTTAAGATGGTCTCCTCTCTTCCCCTCCCCCCCACTTGCTGACTCTCTCTGATAGATGCATTAAGGGATGAGGGGAGCAATTAGTTGAGCACCTAGTTGAGTAGTGTCTTGTTACTTACATCCCTAGTACCTTATGGTTGGCTTTACTGTGCCTGTCTCATGGCTGTCTGTCTGTGCTCACCAATATTATCATTAATCTGCCCTATTGTGTATCAACAGGACTCACTGCCTGATGCCGCTGCACAAGTACCCGCTGCGGCTCTGGGACACTTTGAAACTGAGGGAGGGGATCTATGCCCGTCTGCCTGCTCATTATCTCAAGTCACTACAAGACAAAACACCGCCCACCCCAGTTCATTGGAAACCCCATGGGGTGAAATATAAATTAAATGAAATAACCGGTCAACGAGAGCGAGTGCAAGATGTTCCTATTAAAATCTACTACCCCCCAGAATCTCAGAAAGGGCTCTGGGGAGGGGAAGGCTGGATTTGTGGCTTTCGGTATGCTGGGAATGACAAAGTGAGTATGAAGTATGGGTGAGCCGCATCTAAAAGGGCAAACCAAATAACTAGTAATATTAGGTGCATTCTCATCTTATGGCTTCATTTGTCTATGGATGCACTGGGCTAGTACTAGGAACAGGAACAGTGTGTGCAGTGAATGGCAGGCATCACCACACTCTAGCAGCAAAATCAGAAGGAAAGGAAAGCTGAATCCTATCTCTGTTTCCTCTCTCCTCACACTCTTGAGTAGTGAGGATCTTGAATGGCAGGTGCTGTAATTCATACTCTTTTCTTCACCAGTAGCAGAAAGAGTTCCACGTGAGGGTTAATTGTTCCTCTTTCTCTCATTGTATTACTGAGAGCATCATACAAACTGTGATCTGATATTCTTTTGTTTGCTAACCTTGAGAAATAATCCCTATATATGCAGCGTTGTAAGGGATTATATAACAGAGACCCAACCACCTGTGGAAAAGGAACATAATCAAAGCTGCAATGCTACAATAGGGAGAAGAGTGATAAGAAGCAAAGCAATAGATAGTCAGGTGGTGTGAGGTCTGAAGAAGTTAGCCCAAGAGGTTTAGAAGGAGGCCTGTGCATCTTGAAAGTCGTGGCTTTTTACCTGGTATTCTACAGGTAACTTTTATTATAAGAAGCAGAGTTGTGAGAGTGTCAAGGTTAGTTCTGGCCATGAAGTTGGGAGGCATAGTTCTACATGTCAAAAGGTAAATAAATTTAAGCCACTTTATTTCTCCTTTTGTAAGGCCCTGGATCTTATTTCTGACTTATATTGAAAACAAGAACTTTCTCTTGATTTATTGCAGATATGCTTTATGTATAACCATACTGTCACACTTCCATTAATACCTATTTAATGATATATTGTTAGGCTGTAAAAAAAAAAACCTTATTATTTCATAAAACCTGCTACCTGTGCATATTCAATTTTATCTGTTGACTTTACAGATGCAAACATGGTTTTACTCCTGTTGGCATTGCAGTGTCAGTACATCTCTGGAAGACAGCTGGTGTCTATTCTGGTTTAGATGTGTGGCAGTTCTCCAAACAGTGCCATATTTTTGATGCTGGAAGTACCCACCCTTAGACGTGTTATGTATTACTTGAAAGCTTATTTTATGTGTGTTTTCAGATGAGGTTTGATGTGGCGCTGTCAAATGACGTTGTAAGCCTGTGGGTAAGGTGAAAGAGCGGTACCCAAAATGAGTGTAACTTTTTTATAGTTCCAGAAACATTGCAGCACGACTGACTACAATTTTTACTGTTGAAATTAATTTCAGCACCTTAATTTTGTGCTTATTGTTTAAAGCTACAAAATGACAATGTATTAAAAGATGTTATTGGTTTTGGATGGGGATTTTTTGTTTTCAGAAATGCTATTTAGCATGCAGCAAAAATGACAAATATAAACATTTTCAACATGCTGACTTCATATGTTCTTAATTGTTAATGTGTATCATAGGGATCTTGAATTGCAGGTAATCAGCTAATCGAGTAGTCAATGGAATTTCCATCGACTACTTGATTATTCAATAACGGGGGAAACTGCAGAGCCACAACAGAGTTAGCTCCTGACCGGGAGCTAATCCCATTACGGCTCTGACTTTTAAATGTATTAAGAACCAGGCAGAGGTATAGTGGGGGACTGAGTGTGAGCTAGGAATCAGGTGATTCCTGGCTTGCACCCGGTCCCCTGGGATGCACTTCTGTTTTTTAAATGTATTAAAAGCCTCCAGAGTCTTAATACAGTTAAAAAACAGATGCGCAGCAATGGGGACCAGCAGTGAGCTGGGAATCAGCTGATTCCTGCTTGGTGCCCAGTCCCCTACTACGCCTCTTCCTCCCTTGCTCCCCTGGAGATGGTGCTGAGGGGAACTGGCTTTTAAGTTGGCTCCCCCCAGCACTGACTCCTGTGCCCTCCCTTGCTGCCTCTCTTTGATAGAGGCAACAGTGGGTGGGGGGATGCACCTAGTCAAGTCAGAACTCAACTCCCCAATAAGCATATGCTTATCGGGTAGTGGACTAGTCGCTTACCTCCTCAGTGTATCACGTGTGATTACAATAAAACCTGATTTTCTTCCACATATTGATCTGAGGAAGTGGGTCTGGCCCACGAAAGTTCATCACCTAATAAACCATCTTGTTAGTCTTTAAAGTGCTACACAGTCCTGTTTTTTGTTTCAGCTACACCAGACTAACACGTGTGTTATCCAGCACACTCGGGACCCTCAGATAACTGGAACGCCCTAATTCCCATCAACCTAGGAAAAACCAGTGGACAATAATAGTAAAACTTCAGTTTTTAATATTGGTAGTTTTGTAGTGTGAGGCAGTTGCTCTTGCATTTCAATTTTTTATTTAAGAAGTTCTAATAATCTTTAACTCAAAATAAAGCCAATCATGGTAAACCAAGCCAGGCCTGTGCGCCTGAAGATGTGACAGTATTGTGGCTGGGGGCAATGCTGGTTAACAAAGTTTTCTGGTTAACAGAGTGCCGGATAACAAAGGTTTCACTGTATCAATTTTCAATTGAAATGTGTTGTCCAGGTCAGTCTCTCACAGAAGAGGTTGTGCACTGCTAGCAGTAGATTGCATACCTGTAGTTTGTGCTTTGTAGTAATGTGTATTAATTAATATTGCTTCTCCATTTGTGAGCTTTCATACATACGATGTAGTATCTGGTCAGCTTGGTATATTTTAATTTGTAATTTCATATGCAACCACCCATTGAAATAGTCTAGGAACTAGTTTTTTAATTCAGTAACACTTTTTCACAGAACAGTATTAGTGTTAGAGATGACAGGTTCATATTACAAATATGCAAAAGCTGTGAGAGACAAATGTGACCTAATGAGAAGTAGCAAAGACAAAGTCCAGAAATAATTCCTTCCCTCTGCTCTGAAGAAGAGCATGTTACAGCTCTTAACAACTAGGGATAGCGTGTAAGTGAATAGTTGTGTAACCGCATCAAAATTTAGCAGTTGCATGACTATTCAATAGTCCCCAGAGGCAGGGCTGGCAGCCAGTGCACTACTGGCCCCACGCCTGGGGAGCCCCCTGCATATAGTCGAGTGGATTAACTGATAAGCCTGGGCTTAATCGATTAATCATGCAGTCGTTGGCAGATTGACATCCCTATTAACCATAAAAGCATATTTGACATGGTATTGCATCCAGTGGTGCTTATCAATGTATCTGCTGGACTAGATGTTACATCAGATGTACAAGAGACTCTACAGGAAAATGCAGATGGGGAAGAACAAATGGAGAGATTTGATAGAGGTGCATGGTTGCTCTGCAATTACTTACAGTTCTGCTTACGCTGCTAAACATTATTAGAATAGACTCTTATTATCCATGGTAGGTTTCTGTCATGCCTGCGTATGCCTTTGCTCACAACAGTAATGATGCTGACTAGAAAGGTCAGCAGTGCAGTTACATGTCCGTGATTTCTGTACAAGTCTGATGTTAGTTGTTGCTTTACCCTTTAGATCAGTGTTTCCTAAGCCTTCATTCATTTTTGGCCCCCTAAAAAATGTTGAATGGATGTGCTTGGAAACCTTAGACCTAGTCTGTGGACCCTCACGTGTGTGGACCGCTGCTCGAGAAACACTGCGTTAGATTGTAACCTCAAAGCATCACAACAACGAAGAAACCCAATTTTATGTCTTGAATTGATGCATTGTTTCTGAAACCGAGACAAATGCAAATATTTCAAAAGTGGCCATTTTAAAGTGTTCATGGTGACATCACCATTTCAGTGGTGATGGCACGAATTCACAGCTTCATATCAGACCTCCTCTTTCCTCATAAATCTTTCCAAAGATTATGTCTGTGCATGTATGTAGAGAGGATATAGTAAGTTCACCAAACCAGTGGTGTTTGCTTTCTGCATATTCATGCAGCATATTCAGAATTGCCAGAGTTCTAGTGTTAGGTTCTAGTGCTGGTGATGTGCAGATCAGAAAGAGCCCAGCTTAAATCTCAGAACCCAGGGTGTGAGCGAGCCGGGGTGTTAGGTAGAACAAACATCATTTCACTTGTCTGCAAACTTGCTCTGGAATTACTGAAACGCAGTACCTCCAGACTTCTTCAGTAAACACTTCATCCAGTTTTCAGCAAATCACACCTAGATCTAAGTTCTGCAATCACATGATTTTATTCTGTAGTTCCTGAAAGGCTCAAAGGGCCTATTCTAGGGTATCACGTACCCAGCTCGCATTGAAATCTGTGTAGTTAAGTACCTAAATACCTTTTGAGAATCTGGATCTAAGTTCTTGACACAGCAATAAATCTGCTGCGCAGCAGAACTGACAGTTCGCACTGTGTATGTCAAACGTAAGTGTGTGAAACCAAGGCAACAACAGTGTGTCTGCTTTCCTACGGTATGATGAGGCTTCCTGGGTTGGGGCTGGTCTTGGGATGACAAACAGGGCATATTTGCGCTTTTTGTAAGAGTTCATTTCGTTCTACATTCTCCCTTGGTTTGTCCTACTATGACCCTGAGTTCTGGGTTTGGCGCAGCACTGAAATATCTCAAGTCTTGGGTCAAGCGAAACCTGAATGTGAATGAAAACTAACAAACACCGACTGGAAAGAAGATGATGTGAGGGAGCAAGCGGAAATCATTGGGCAGGACTTGGGGCACCCCAACTTGGGACCATAGCTGCTTGCCAGGAGCTTAGTTTGCATAAAATGGAGTAGATGGCAGCGTAGTTTGGCTGCTCAGATTGCGAGCTAGGTTCTGCAGTCCCCACATGGTATATCTGTGTGTGGGTCTTGTTTGCCCATTCCTACCTTGGGGGCTCTGTGCTGCCCAGTCCAAATTTAGCCAGTGTTTGTGGGTGCGATTGTTGTCTCTTCTGAGTCACATGGCCATTAACAGAGAGGTGATTTATTCTTTGGAAATCATGTTTATTTCTCTTAGCTCTCAAACAGACTGAAGAAGACTTGGAAGCCGCAGCTGTTTGAGCGGGAGCTGTATAGTGAGATCCTGGACAAGAAATTGACCATTACAGTCACCATGAGAACCCTGGACCTGATCGACGCAGCCTATGGATTTGATTTCTACATCCTCAAGGCAAGGCACATGTGGATCTGCTTTACTGGGTTATACGGGAGAGTAGACCCTAGGGATGTGAAAGGCTAACTGGTTCTGGCTAACTGGAGGGGGCTGGCATTTAATGTTAGGGCAGCTGTGACAGACTGACCGCATCTCTGCGTGAGTTAAGTAAATCTAAGCGGTCATTTCCTGCCTTAGGTGCTGTAACTGTCTGGCTCAAGCCCTTCTAGTGAGAAAACTTCAGTGACCTCCCTAGCAGTTCATTCTACCAGCTTGTGGTCAGATGTTTGAAGCGTTTTCCTAGTGCTCAGTTTAAATTTCCTTCCTGGTTGTTACCACAGTGCTGCCGATAAAATAGCAAGCAGCACTGATGAGTAGCCACCAGTAGGTGCGGGAAGGAGGACTTATTGTTTCACTGACATTGCAGAGAAGTAATGTACAGTCCTTCAAAGCCATCCATCCACATCAGTGAATCCTCAAACTTTGTTCCTCCAGACTCCAAAGGCTGATCTGTGTTCCAAGCTAGGGATGGATTTGAAACGAACGTTGCTACTTCGGCTTGCTCGGAGGGACCCTAGCCTGCATCCAAATGATCCAGAAAAGAGAGAGGCGATCTATAACAAGTACCGGGTGTGTAGTTCACCCTTTGTTTATCAACTCTGTGTATACAGTGAGTCTTGTCCGTCTGTCCCTCCTAACTGGTAACGTTTGCTAGGCAGTGGCGGGACGAATAGTTCAAGAATTTGTTCTGAGGGTTAAAACTAGAGGGTAGGAACAATATTTTTCTAATGTTATTTGGCCAGTTATCACTGTACGTAGGCTGTTTGCTGAGTGCCCCTTTGATCAGTCAGAAGGACAAAGGCTCATATTTTCACAGTTAGCCAGTTTGCCAATAAGGCCTTGAAATGATCATTGAGCATCTAGCATCACCGCTGTGTTGACGGGGGCTATCTGAGCTGCTGCTGCAGTTAAACCCTTTCCCCGCGTCTGGGATGCTGCTTATTAACATTTAATGCCGCTCCTGGCTGCAGTCAGTCAGCACAGAGCCAAGTTAACATAACACCCAGGCCTCAAAGCTACTCTGGCATGGCCTCTGCTGACCTAAGACCGAGCCTGGCAGCGGGTGTGCAGTAAGAAACCAACCTGTTTGCTAAATAGAAGAGAAGTGGGCGGGGCGGGAATAAACTTCCCGTGTGCTCGTCAGAAATGGAAAGTGCACATGCACAATTGCTCACTTCTTTTGGGCATGATTCTGTTCTATTTCGCTCCCCCACCCTCCTGTCGCCTGGGACAGTCCCACAGTCCAGTGGAGCTGGTCACTAGCTGCCCCAGTCAAGATTGTACCGTTATCCAGTTCCTCTTGTCACAGGAATTTGTGATCCCGGAAGAAGAGGCTGAGTGGGTTGGGTTGACTTTGGAAGAAGCGGTGGAAAAGCAGAGACTCCTGGAGAAGAAGGTGAGTTCTGTGCGATATGGGAACGTGGTATCTGCACTCGCCCCGGGCAGCGCGCACTAGCTGTGTGTCTAGGCCCTTCTCAAAGAGCCCATGCAGTGCTGATCTTGATCTGCTCTGACATAGGCACCTCGAAAGCCCCACGTTTATCAGCACGGCTAAGGTGGATGTGCTTTAAACAGGAGATGTTTGAGGTGGGAGTGATTTCCTTGAGGGTGTTTGAGTAGGGTCAGTTATACCCCCACACACGCACACCAACCCTATCCTGGAAATGGCTTGGGTCTGCTGGCTTCTTTCTTTTCGGGTCACTTCCATGCTTCAGAGGGGACATAGATGTGACTGCAGGATCCGGGTCTTCCCTGCACCCCTCTTAGCACCTCAGTTTCGCTTCCTCCTGCTGAGTATTTCTGCAAAGCTTAGTGCTATGACGTAGAGGCTGGGGGATCCCACTGGCAGTCAGAGTACATCAAAAGAGAGTTTCCCGGTCTGTGCCCCACGCTCACCCCCAGGATTCCTTCACGCCTCTTGCAATCTCAGCAGTCGCAGAAAGCTACAGCACTGTGGGGCTAATGACTGGAGAGTTGCATGAGGGATGGGATTCCAAGCCACCGTTTTCAGGGTGGGGGGGTCTGGCACAGCCGAGAGGAAAAAGCCAGAGATCATGGCAACGGTAGGCAGTGGGGGTCACCTAAGTTCCCACTGAGCTGCACAGTCGCTGCCTAACAGGCTCCACCCAGGGGTTCAGGGTGGCCACAGAAAGCACCGCCTTTGCCCCAGCACCCAGCGCCGCTCGCTAGCTCCAGCAAAATGCAGGGACAGAAGCGCCTCTCACTCAGCCGCAGTAGCGAGGCTGGGAGCCCGAGGGGCT